TTGTTTACGTCCTGTACCTGTGATACTACCTGTCACAGCCCTGTGTTGTTTACGTCCTGTACCTGTGATACTACCTGTCACAGCCCTGTGTTGTTTACGTCCTGTACCTGTGATACTACCTGTCACAGCCCTGTGTTGTTTACGTCCTGTACCTGTGATACTACCTGTCACAGCCCTGTGTGTTTACGTCCTGTACCTGTGATACTACCTGTCACAGCCCTGTGTTGTTTACGTCCTGTACCTGTGATACTACCTGTCACAGCCCTGTGCTGTTTACGTCCTGTACCTGTGATACTACCTGTCACAGCCCTGTGTGTTTACGTCCTGTACCTGTGATACTACCTGTCACAGCCCTGTGTGTTTACGTCCTGTACCTGTGATACTACCTGTCACAGCCCTGTGTTGTTTACGTCCTGTACCTGTGATACTACCTGTCACAGCCCTGTGTTGTTTACGTCCTGTACCTGTGATACTACCTGTCACAGCCCTGTGTTGTTTACGTCCTGTACCTGTGATACTACCTGTCACAGCCCTGTGTTGTTTACGTCCTGTACCGTGATACTACCTGTCACAGCCCTGTGTTTACGTCCTGTACCTGTGATACTACCTGTCACAGCTTTGTGTTGTTTACGTCCTGTACCTGTGATACTACCTGTCACAGCCCTGTGTTGTTTACGTCCTGTACCTGTGATACTACCTGTCACAGCCCTGTGTTGTTTACGTCCTGTACCTGTGATACTACCTGTCACAGCCCTGTGTTGTTTACGTCCTGTACCTGTGATACTACCTGTCACAGCTCTGTGCTGTTTACGTCCTGTACCTGTGATACTACCTGTCACAGCCCTGTGTTGTTTACGTCCTGTACCTGTGATACTACCTGTCACAGCCCTGTGCTGTTTACGTCCTGTACCTGTGATACTAACACTAACCCTATGCATATATAAATTCATGTCAACATATTCAAGTTCAATGCTTTGTTTTAGAAAGAAATAGAAGCTGAAAAACAAGCCATTTAATAAATACCGGTTTGTTGAAAATAAAAAAGCGATTAAATAAATGAGTTAGACAGAGCCTGTAAAAGGCAGTGCTCCATCTGTCTCCTTCAGAAGACATTCTCCCAACCCAATTCATAAGCCTAACCCTTTTTTAATTAAAATAGGACAGGGTATATATCTGAAACAAACATAAGTCGGCTCATTCTGGCTTTGCAGCTCAAAGGGAAAAGTTGTTTTTGATCTCGGATCCAGGAGGAGCAGTGTGGTTTTCGTCCCGGTCGCGGAACACTGGACCAGCTCTATACTCTCCATCGGATACTCGAGGGTTCATGGGAGTTCGCCCAACCTGTCCACATGTGCTTTGTGGATTTGGAGAAGGCGTTCGACCGTGTTCCCCGGGGTGTCCTTTGGGGGGGTTCTCCGGGAGTACGGGGTCCGGGGTCCTCTGCTGAGGGCTGTTCGGTCCCTGTATGACCGGAGCCAGAGCTGTGTTCGCATTGCCGGCAGTAAGTCAGACCTGTTCCCGGTGAATGTTGGCCTCCGACAGGGCTGCCCTTTGTCACCGGTTCTGTTCACTGTATTTATGGACAGAATATCTAGGCGCAGCCAGGGGTCGGAGGGGGTCCGGTTCGGGGACCACAGGATTTAATCTCTGCTGTTTGCGGACGATGTTGTCCTGTTGGCTCCAACGAACCAGGACCTGCAGCATGCACTGGGGCGGTTTGCAGCCGAGTGCGAAGCGGCTGGGATGAGAATCAGCACCTCCAAATCCGAGGCCATGGTGCTCGACCGGAAAAAGGTGCCTTGCCCTCTGCAGGTGGGTGGAGAGGTCCTTCCTCAAGTGGAGGAGTTAAAGTATCTCGGGGTCTTGTTCATGAGTGAGGGAAGGATGGAGCGTGAGATTGACAGGCGGATCGGTGCAGCGTGCGCAGTTATGCGGTCGCTGTATCGGACCGTTGTGGTAAAGAGGGAGCAGCGTCTGCAGTCAGAGCTGTATCGAACCGTTGTGGTAAAAAGGGAGCAGCGTCTGCAGTCAGAGCTGTATCGGACCGTTGTGGTAAAGAGGGAGCTGAGCCGAAAGGCAAAGCTCTCGATTTACCGGTCAATCTTCGTTCCCTCCCTCACCTATGGTCATGAGCTTTGGGTAATGACCGAAAGAACGAGATCGCGGATACAAGCGGTCGAAATGAGCTTCCTCCGCAGAGTGGCTGGGCGCTCCCTTAGAGATAGGGTGAGGAGCTCAGTCACACGGGAGGAGCTCGGAGTAGAGCCGCTGCTTCTCCACGTCGAGAGGAACCAGTTGAGGTGGCTCGGGCATCTGTTCCGGATGCCTCCTGGACGCCTCCCTGGGGAGGTGTTCCGGGCACGTCCCACCGGGAGGAGGCCCCGGGGAAGACCCAGGACACGCTGGAGGGACTATGTCTCTCAGCTGGCCTGGGAACGCCTTGGGGTCCCCACAGACGAGCTGGAGGAAGTGTGTGTGGATAGGGAAGTCTGGGCGTCTCTGCTTAGACTGCTGCCCCCGCGACCCGGCAACGGATAAAGCGGAAGAAAATGGATGGATGGATGTTTTTGATCCTGCTTGTTTCATTTGTTGAGTCTGATGCAATGGCTAATTTTTTGGCTGCAGGGCAAGAAAACTGTGACAATCTTTTGGCCTTTCACAGCAGTTTTGATGACTTTAGGGATTTCTTACATTGCCAAGAAATGAGAATGCCATTACATTCTGCGGAAATTGAAGACTGTGCGTCTTTCTTGGACTTTAATTATGATTTGGACGGGCTTTTGATACAACTTGAGTCTCTGGCAGCTATCAAAAAAGGAGTCCATTATTTCTTTTTGCCACTGCATTCGACTTTGAAAAATCAGTCATTTTTTCAAAAAGCACATTCTCCAAGACACATACCCATAAGAAGGCATTGACATGCTCAAACACTGTTGTGGTTCTGTTATAGCACATGTGGATGGGGGATATTTTCTCAACATCACTGCTATGCCATTAGACCCACACAAACCTGCTGCAGAACTTAAGACCTCCAATGGCTATAAGAAGATAGCTGGAGAAGCTATCACGGAAATGGTGGAGTTCTTCAAAGATCTTTTGAAGGCACTCCCACCTGAAGACTTACGCAGACCAAGTATCGTCAAGCAGTCTTTGGACAGGACTGAGAAGTTTGAAGTCTTGTTTCAGGATCTTGATTTCCTCATGACCTTGCTTCAACAGGCTATTGATCATGTGAACAATACAGAAAAAGAAGTACAACTGGTCACTTCTCTGACAAGATTCGGACAAAAACAGGACTTCTGTGAATACTTTGGATTTTTGAGAAGAAAGCATGTCAAATCTATGTCTGTACACTTGGCCTGCACTATCACTGCTAAAGACCCTGACATACATTTATTGTGGTCGCGTTATGGACTACAAGATCTAGTAGGCTCACACTGCAATTTGTTCAGTGTACTGGGGATGCACGAAGCCATTAATGTGCAAACACCGCTGGACAAAAACACTTTCACAATGGATGAAAGGATAACCAACATCTTCCACTGGACGCCAAAGACATTTGTTCAGTTTTACGTCAACTCCCCACACTGTAGCTTTAGTCTGTCTCACTTCCATCCAGTCAGTGGGATGATAGCTCTGTGTGACATGCAACACCC